CAACGATTATCAATTTATTAAAAGGCGTGGTCAATTTAATGCGGTTTTTACAATAATTTACACGTTGAATTTAGTTGAAGTACAATTTAAAGTTGAATTAATTATTGAATATGTTGAGATACAAGTTGATTTAGTTGAATTGATAGGTGATTTATTAAGTGATTTTACTCGGTGAGTTTCGTTGAGTTTTAGATTAGATGTTAGCACGTTCACTGATTGATACGAACAGAGAGTGTTGAGGGGGGGTGATGGTGTTTTTGATGGTTTGGAGATGACCGTTGACCGATGGGTCACGATCATTTCCAGGTTTTCCCGATCGATGTGGTGAAATGCCACCCATATTTTTCTCCATTTTAAACAATAATCTATGGAAAAATCCCAAAAACCCATTTGTTTAAGCGATAACTGCAAAATTATTTCAGTAGAGTGATGCGAGAGAGCGAGAGAGAGAATCCATGATGCTGCTCTCTCACTCCCGGGCGAAGGTAAAACCGTAGCCCGCTGCCTGGAAGGGGCGTCGCTCATGCATGTGAGCGGAGCCACACGGACGTACTGCTGTTTAACGCTGCAGCGTCATTGGCTCGCCTATTTACCCCAATATCTCCGGGGGGCTGCTACTGATCCAAAAGTGGAAAAGGACTTTTCGGCTCAGAATCACCCCCTGTACATGCTGGTAAAGGATTAGCATGTACTTCTGGGACACCTTGTAGATATTGCCGCTGAGGATATCATCGAAGAGCTTTTTCAGAAATATGTGACAAACACCGGGCAAAGTGGTATTATGGAATATTCCGTTCCTGACTGCATTAAAGTACCCCTTCTGATATGCTGAAAAAGCATGTTTCTCTCCATCCGGTATAGCAGCCCCAGTCCAAAGTGGAAATTCATTTCCAACCCTTTCCAAGTCGTCAATCAATGGGGGTAAATAAAACGCATTCTCCAGATTGCCCGGGATATCCTCAGGAGTCTCTGGTTGAACCGATGCTATCAGATCTTTAATCCATTGGTGTGTAGCTGTTAATTTGCTTACTGATGATGATTCTTCAGGCAGTGCGTCGAAGTTGTAAGGGAGTTCTGACTCATTGTTCTTTGTAAAACTCTCCAACTTCTCAATGATGGATCCACGTATAGCGATGTGATCTTCCAACTGCCTGCGAGCCTCTTGAGCTGTCATTTCAAAATCAGGAGTTTTCACGATATAATCGTTTACAGGAATAAGTGCAACAATACATGTCAACAGAAAGATCTGACGATCTGACGAAATCGAATGTAAAACCTTTTGGTTCGGAACTTATGCTTGTCATTGAGGCAGCTCCATTTAGCAGCAGCGGCTACAAAGTGGGCGACATCCAACCGTATCACCGTCGTAGCAGGAAACTGTTGTGTTGTCTTCCTCGTGTCGTCTTTAGCCAAATAAAAAATTTCATCAACGTATTTGTTGATGCTCATGCCGTTGAATGCCTGACACTGCCTCAGGACTAGTGCTCTTTCTTCCTCACTTGTTGATTCCTTAAGTGCTTTCACTTTAAACTTTCTTATCCAAGTTCGTAACCAATAGATGACCCAGTCAGTATCCTGGCGTTCTGTAAGCATTTGGCATACTGGAATCGTCTTGTTCTCGAAATTTATGGTGACAGCATACAAGAAGAGATGTCCTGTCATTACCCCTGGGCACTTTTCTTTTCTAATTTCTTCACAAATTTTCCACTACCATCAGTAGCGGTTTTGGGCTTTGAAACTACCCTACAATATTCTTTGTAAACTTGCACTTGTTCGGGTGAACAAAATATTACATGGAAGGGATTTGCACCGACATTGATGATGATTTGCGAGTACTTGGGGTCACCACACATATCTCTGACGATAGTAACCTGATCACATTTATCATTTTTCTCAATGCCATAGTTTCTTTTCAGAGCTTCCATCTTCACCTGTCGATATATCGCTCCGCTCCTTATTATTGGAGGCTCGTCTTCTCCAAACTCCATATGATCTCGGATCAATTCTTTACGGAACGTATCTGGTTTCTTTTCTTTTCGTTTTTCTCCTACCTGTGTTCTCTCTAATCCATTAAGTGGTCGCTTAACTTCCTTATGTAGTTTCCCACGAGTGTCAGGCATTCTAATTATCATGTGAAGGCCTCTATCCGCTGATATCCTGTCCGCAGTTCCTAAAAAGACGTTTCCACAGTGTTGAATGTTGCACTTTCCCCGAAATTTCACCAGCACCAGAATACCTGATTCAATTTTCGCATAGGACCACTTAGCAATACATGCACATGGCATATTGTACCTGACATAAAGAGCATTAGCAATCACGTTAGGCCATACTCGTGCTTTCAACTTCGTCACCACGATTCCGATGGTTTCATGCTGGGGCCTGATCATTTCCACCCCGATGGGGTCAAGAATAGATGGAAGTCGTCATGATAGGGAAAGTCTTCGTCTTGCAATACGAAATCTTCATCAGCTACATCATCATAATTAACATCAATGATTGACGTTTCTTCAGTCTTTTCTTCTGTTTTACTGGGTGGCAATGTCATAATTCCACACATCTGGCGGACGATGGAGAGATCGTCGTTTTTGTTTTCTGTCACGTGGGTGTAAACAGTATGGAGCTTCCATCGGTGCCCAAGCTCCCTCTCCATCTGCTTCCAGACATCTGATCGATAAGGTGGTAATTGATTGGTTGCGAAGTGACAAATGTACTTTTTTATTAGAGCGATCATTTCCTCTTTTGTCACTCGTGGTTTGCGACCCGCCATAGTCTAGAAATAAAGAATATTGCTCATAAAGAATTTATCGACATGAGAATATTTATTTTCATTTGCATGCGAGATACGCAGACACAAGAGATTTTCTTCAGCATTTATAAATATTCCAGTGGAGATTTTCCCTTTAAAATCACGATCCATCGATCCGTTACAATTCTTTGAATGCCGATGAAAGGACAATTGACAAAATGACTGAATCTAAAATGATATTCATCACAATTTGTTTGTGAGAAAGATGTTAAGAGGGTTATCCACTAGTCCAGTGCGCTAGTATCAAATTTAGTTTTTGTAGGATATTTCGAGTTCTGAGAAAAATACTAGGATTTTAGTTGAGACAATTATTTTAAGATAGAGTATAGTCTAGGAAAAAACCCCTATCAAAATTTTGTTAGTTCTCTCGGCTACAGGGATTTGTACAACTTTCATAATTATGGGTTTGTTCATTAACTGTGAGGCCACCAACAAATATGTTGAGAAATTTTATTCTCCAAAGGAAATTTGATAAATTGAGGCAAAAAATGCACTACTGTGGGATCAATTTTCTGGATAACATCAGCATGTATAACAACTTGACTAACCTCTTATTTTGATCTTCCAGGTAAGAACTGATTTGGATAGAGCTCAATAGATTTACGTTATTTAGAAAGATTATTTTACATTCTCGTTAAATTTTAAAAGGTACGTAGATTGACTGCGGGGAATAACAGTTGCAAAAATCCTACAATAAATATCTCGGGTTTAGTAGCGTTTTCCGCCTAAATAACTAGCACCTCGATACGGGGGAGGTGAGCGGAAAATTCATGCGAAACTAACACTAACTAGGATATACAGATGATGAACTAATACCTGATTTGAAGTGTGATTTTTTCTACAGACTGGGAATATGTTTGGTAATAATGCTATGTTCAGGAACTAATAGAGCACTTTGTGACAATAGTACTTTCAAGGAATCAGCACGGCAACTTGATTTCTGTAATCACTCACCTTGCGTTCAAGAAACCATTGTAGAATCCCAATATAAAAATAGAGGGAATTGAAGCAATGAAGATGAATCCATTTGTGAGTTTTTCTTGATCATCTCGCGGCTCAAACCAAAGGATCCTTCTCCACTCCATGAACAGCGCAACCAGGTGTTCCTGGGTTCTGAAAAATACAATTAGAAGACAAATACCCTATAATAATTTGAGAATTAAATCATCACGCATACATGAGATAACGCTTACGTATCCAATTAGTGATGTGGAGTGAAAATAGCTGATTATAGATATATACATATATAGTCGACAGCGCAATCATTATTGCGTCCGGCCACCCTCATACAGAAATTGAAAAATATTCATTTATGAAATTATTATATACTCCCGAATTCTGGGCTTAATTTTTTCGAACCTCCCTAATCATTTTCTATCGATTTACACCACTGATCACTGATGATTTTTTTCTATGCTTTATCTGCCAGCTCGATGTCTGATGACCGTGGTCAGACAGCGCCATAGTTGTCATAGCCCCCCATTCTCGCAAGAACAATTAGAAAATACTTATTTCACCAATAATTATGCACTCTCGAATTCGAAATTCAATTTATTGACATCCATACACTTACCGCCCACTAGGCCTGGCGGCGAAAGTTGGCTTTTGCTCCAGATGATCCACATACGCATGCTGAGACAAACGTAATAACGGAGAGACAAACATAATGCAAACGATTTCAATAACCTATAATTCCTTCGTTTTTTACCATTTTTCAAAACAAAAAAAAATCGAATAGTTTCTGCTGATTCTTCCTATTTGGGAAAGACAAAAATGGCAATTCCCATGAGAATAATAATGGCAATCATTATGTGCCTCAGCCGATCGTACGACAAAATATGTTCATGGGAGAATGGCCGCTTAGATTTAACGAAAGAGATGAACAGCACATAGGAAGATCGCATTATTCTTTGCGATCATCTGCTACACAAACAATTACGTAAAATTGGGGGTGCAAAAGCTATCGGCAGAGCTAAGCAAATTAATCCTAGGTGAACAAAAAATCGACACTCCATTTTGCGACACGGCATTTATATTTGACGTTAAATAATCTGCATTTCGTTTTACTGTTCCTTAGAAATTGCAAGATGATTAGAAGAAGCAATTTAATATTAATGTATGTATTGTTGACAAATACAAGTAACAACGTAACTGTTAATTTCTAGAGTGTTTGCTTTGTCTCCTTTTAGACGGAACTACAGTCAGCTGAAAACTGTGAGCACAGCGATTGTAGAAACGTCTCCAGAGGGATGTCTGACTATATTTAGGAAATCTCATGTAAAAAAATGTTGATCCACAAGTACATAACTACTACAGTCAAAAAGTGAAAAAAAGCAAAGGAAAAAGTACCAAACAGGTACCACAATGTTATTAACTATTTGGAGAATCTTACAAGGATCGATAGGTCGTATGACTCCGTTAGAGAAAGTACGGCTGAAGGTAATAGTAAGAATTATTATGTATCAGGGAAAAAAAATTAAAACAATAATAACTTCATTGTTTGTAGAACTTCGCAATGACTCTCGGGGAGTCATTAAAAAAGAATGGCAGAAAACCAAGACAGTTCCATGTGTCACGTATGACTAAAGATTACGAGGGTTGACACGCAATTCGTCAACAAGATGTACAAAAATTCATTGACGGTATTGTTCTCGGAATGGCCAATTCTTACACACGTCAAAGCTGCTGATATCATTGAGAGCGATTTCTCGATATTAAATCTAACTTCAGTGATTTTGGGCTTCCCTGTTCTGGCGAAATTCCTGAGAGAATTGCGGAAAATCCGTCCACTCCATGCACGTGATATTGAGGCTGCGAGATTTATTGGAATTTTCAATTCAGAATTTTTTTATTTATTAGAATTTTCAATTAAGAAGATAACAATGAAGGTGACCATGAAAAAATTTATAGAATTTTGTTATCAATAATTTTGAATAGTTTTGTTAATTTTGAAAATATTAAGTTTTTTTGTACATATTTCGTCCAAATTTGATATATATACAGTATTTTTGAACCCCTACTTTTTAGATACCAAAGTCTTTGCGGGCATTTGTTTGCTACCCCATTTAATTTCTCCCTGCTAAAAGAAATCTAAAAGCTGGAAGCCATGCGTTTCCGATTGCAGAGAGTTTTAGTTTGTTCTGCAAGATTTGCATCCATCCTCTTCTCTAATTTTCCTCGAAACTGTTCGATACCATTGAAATTTACGTAATTATCAATGTTTTAGACAACGGCGGAAGTTAATGGTTCCATTGATGAACGCCTCAATATATTGAAGGAGTTGAATCGTTCAATCGTATCATTCTTAGTAGCGATAGGGTGCAGTAAGAAAATTACGTCCGACGTATATTTTCAAAACCCAAAAATGATGTAGCAGTGCAGTACATTCCTTCATGGTTTTCATATCTTATTTAAGAGTTGCAAGGCTTTCAACATGATTCTCCCATTCCCTATTTAGGAGGGACTCCAGTATTAAGGTAAAACGCATCAAAAGTGTTGCTTCCGAAGTTCTGTCCGCATAGGGTAATTGTCGTCAAAGCCTACCGTAGACACGTTGACCGACCTCCACCAATCAGCCGTGATGATTGAATTTTCCTCCCAGAATTTACCTGTCTTTTAAAATTTCTGTCAATATAAATTTTATCGAACTCTATATTCTATTAATTTTGCAATTAAAAAACATTTTCTCGTTCATTTTCCCTTTTAAAAAAAAACATGTAACTTTTTTTGTCAGCTTTTTTTGGCGCTATGCATATTAAAATATATCTATTGTGACCTTGGCCGGGGAATTAAAATAGATTAATTCCTGGCGAAGGCCCGATATTCGGGAATGAAATATAATATTTAACTTTACTGGGGAAATGTCTATAAATTTGCGGGGGGGGGGACCTGAAAGATAAAGGGGGATGGGAGCTTGAAAATGATTGCTCGTGGTTACGGCTAATTGAACATTCTATATTCCAATACTTTTGTACATCAAGTTCAGATAAGACAATTCCGGCCTTTTCTTATAAGGAATCAAGGGTGGGGTAAGGCCAGCCAGCTCGCGACACACAGGAGAATAATAATAATACCAAAAAAAAAAGAATGAGATAGCACGAAAAAAGAAAGAAAAAGAAAGGGGGGAAGTTAAATAAGCAAAAAAGGGGGGAGAAGTGAGGGGTCCGACTGAAATGATAATAATAATTAGGGCGCTTGATTTACAGCGAAAAGATTTAACTGAAGGCTCACCGTTGAGGGGAATGATATTACAGGGGGTCGTTGATATGTGTTGGGGCAGGAAAGGTAATACAGGGTACTCACGGGTAGTGCGGCTATTCCAATCCTTTCTGAACGATCCTCAGCACATACAAAATAATCCACACAATGGCCTTTCCTCCGTTCGTCACTCCTGGCTCTGTCTTAAGTTTTCTACGGGCACGTCTTACACCAATTCCTCGCAATTAATCTCACATTTCCTCGACAATTCTCCTCTAAACTCTCCTCAAATTTCTCCTCACAATTCTCTTCAAAATTCTCCTCAAAATTCTCTTCAAAACTCTCCTCAAATTCTCTCACAACAATTCTCTCACAAAAATTCTCGCACAAAAATTCCTCAAAATCTCTGTTACACACGGGGCAGCTGTATTACGAGTGATGGCTTCCCCATCCTCGTGGTTCTTCTTCCCCGATTATCGGTGATAATCGGGGTCAATCGGGGACACTCGTCATCGGGTGTCCTCGTCCTAATTATTTGTTGTGCCATATTAATGTAGGTTCCTTTTCCTCTTTCCGGGTCACGTGGGCTGTGACGTAGGAGTGGTTGTTTTCTTTCCATCCGTAGGCGCGTATAGTGACGAGGGGAACGGCGGGTGAGAGCGGCGTTTTCTCCTTCTCTCGTCGATGGTGTTGCACAGCGTGAGTGTAGTGATGGGGGAAGCGTGGGGCACGGGGAAGGAATATCATGGGAAGTGGGAGCCAACGGTGACAGGTTTCATAACCTCGTCGCCTTATTAGAGTAGAAATACTTAAAACTAACTTAAACCTAGTAGAAAAGTCATTATTAGGGGGCGGGGGAGGGGCTAAAAAAGTGCCTCGTCACAGCTGTCCCGGGGGTAGCGAATGCATGGGGTTTCCACAACCCCATGCTGAACGATATGATCCCGTTTTTTTTTCCTTTTCTGATTTGCCTCTACTGAACGGTTTTCTGCGGCTGACTCCAGGAGTGAAAAGCTGGAAGGAAGGCTGTCATCGGTTAGTTTTTTACTTCTAATTTTCTACATCACACTCATCCCAGGCACCCCGACTCACTCTTTCCTTTCCCAACAATTTGTTCATCCATGCGTTCCCTACGGGGGGGTTTATCTCAAAGATACTACAATTGTTCAGCACTGGTCTTTATTGTATACATGAACAGTAGATAGGGCGGGTACACCCAACAAAACTTAATTATGTGAGAGAAAAGGAGAAAAAAAAGGGGAAAAAAAGGTGGTGCATTTCGGCAACAGAAGGGGGGGGGGGGGCGTCGGTCCGGGGTTGTTGTCTAGGGGAGGCGTCGGCAGTCAGGGCAGGACGCAACGTCTACTCCCCAGCGACCACAGAAGTAGCAACGACGAGCCATGACTGGGCATTCCTTGGCCCAGTGGTCGCCGTTGCACCTCCTGCATCCACTGAAGAGCAGGGGTGACTGTGGGGGGATGGGGGAGGTTTGTGGGTAGCCGGGGGGTCGTCGGACTGTTTTTGGGTTGGGGGTTTTTGGGGGCTGATAAGAGCTGGGCCGGGGGATGTGAAGGGACATCAGGGCAGGGGCCGGGGAGGATCGGCGTGGGGAGGGTTGTAGGATGAGGATGGGTCTTGGGGAGGGAGGGCCGCGACGTTGGGTAGGCGAGGTCTGGGTGGTGGTGGGTGTCGAAGGTGTGCGCGTTGGGCGTCGGGTTGGGGCTGTGGGGCGAACCTGTAGGGGGAGTAGGGCGAGGGTGCTGATTAAGTCTTTCAGGGAGCGGTTGGGAGTCTGCGGGGCCGTCTCAAAGTCGTCGTCTGAGTCGGGTGGCGATGGGGAGGTGGTCGAGGGGGTTGTCGAGGGGGTTAGGGGGACGTCGCAGGGGTCGACCTCGTCGTCGTCTAGGGGTTTTTTTTTTTTTTTTTTATAGAGGTTTTGGGGAACCTTCATAGGTTCTGGCCTTGGTCAATCAAGGCCAGATCTCAGATTCTTACTGAGTAAACCCCCTTTTTCCTCCTCTCCCTGACCCCCCTATTCTCCGCGGGACCGCCTGCCGGCATTACATCACGGGGGGGGACATCAGCGCCGTACGCGCTCTACCTACCAGCCGGGGTTACAACCCCATGGTAGCCACTGCTACCAGTTTAACCTGCTGCGGTAGGGTCAGCCTCAACAGACCATCGTACATCGTGTTCCACAGCAGGGGCCCCAGTACCGAGCCCTGAGGCACCCCTCCCGTGACCGCATATTCCTTAGGGCCTTCTGTCGTGTCGTACAGCAGGACTCTGCCCGTGAAGTAGTCCTCCACAACCCTGCGTAGGTAGCCCGGCACGCGAAACTCCTCCAGGGACCTCATTACGCAGTCCCATTTCGCTGAGTTAAACGCGTTCCGAATATCCAGGGCCACGACCAAGCAGTATCTTTTGGTGCCCCTGTTCCACCTCGCCCCTGTGATCGCCTCTCGCGCCGTCTGCACCACCTCGTCGATGGCGCCTAGCGTCGATTTCCCTCTTCTGAAACCATGCTGGTTGTCCGCCAGCAGCGGATCGACTATGGCCTCAATCCTCCGATGTACAATCCGCTCGAGGATCTTCCCAGCAGTGTCAAGCATACAAAGGGGCCGGTACGATGATGGCTCCTCCGGTGGTTTCTTCCCTTTGGGAAGGAGCACCAGCCTCTGTCTCTTCCACACTGCGGGGAATACACCCTGTCGTAGGCAGTCAGTGTAGATGTCGATGAAGAGGCCCGGCAGTGCCTGGATAGCGGTCTTCAGTGCTACGTGGGGGATTCCGTCCAAGCCCGGAGACTTGGAGTTCCCGACCCTACCACATGCCTCCATCAGCTCTTCCTTCGATACCTGTGGTATCACCTCCTGGTTGTCACGTTCAGTCATTCGCTGAAAGTCTGTCTGTCGAGGAAAAAGTGTCACGACGATTCTCCTCAGCAGGGCAGGGCACGTCGGCGGCGGCATCGGTTGACATTTAAGTCGGGCCATGACCGCCATGTACGGTCTGCCCCACGGGTCGCTCTGCACCTGGGCAACCAGCTCCTTCCATGCCAGGGCCTTACTTTTCCTTATGGCTTTTTCAAGTAGGCGACGTACCTCCTTGTATAGCTCTAGCAGCTCTGCAAAGTTCGCCTTCCTTCGGGCTCGCTGGGATGCCCTCCTGGCCGCATTACACTTTCTGCGTAGGTCTGCAATCTCCTCCGTCCACCAGTAAACTGGTAGACGTCGGGGGTTGCTTCGTTTCCTAGGCATAGCAGCGTCGCACGCCTTCGCGAGTCTTCGCATGATATCCGCCGCCCTCTCTGTAGCGTTGCTTCCTCGGGGTGGTCCACTATCCAGGGCTACTGCATAGGTCTCCGGGTTGAATGAACTCGTCCTCCAGCCGATCGCATTTGTCTTTACTGGTGCGCCCCTGCTTCTCACGTCAAGCCCTACCTCCCAGTGCAGAGCTCGGTGGTCTTAGTCGGCCTGGTCTTGAGGAACTTCCCGCTTTACGCGGCGGACTATGTCACAGTAGCTCTCCTTGCTTGTCGGGCGCACGATCACGGCATCCGGTCTGACCGGTGGCGCCCTTCTCTGAGGCTTGTTGCTGCCGCTTGCCTTTTTACCTGTCGGGGGGCGGCTTCTCCCACCATCCCCTGTCTTCTGTTTCTTCCCCCTTTTGT